TCTCTCTCTCTCTCTCGCTCGCTTGCGCTTGGCATCTCTCTCGCCCCTTCTCTGCGTCTTTCCTTCACCCTAAACTCAAATTTCATTCTCTGCTTTTCGACCTCGTCCAAGCTCCGGAGCTCCGGAGACAGCATCCTCATGGACCCAAACAGAGCGGAGTGCTTGAGCCTTACTTAGTAGGGATGTTTAGGGTTTCGGGCTTANNTAGGGGCCTTAAGAATTAGGATAGGGTTTGGGGTAAATTATACTATAAATATAATAAGGAACCCCCAAAACCCTATTCTACTTAATGAGGCCCCTACAGTACATGTAGGGTTTCTACAGGCTTCAGGGTTTGGGTTTTGTATACCAAGGGTCGGGGATGCACGGGGCGGCTTTTGCCGCCTCACGGCTTGGGATTTAGGGCTTTTGGGCCGAAGCCTCAGTTCTGCAAGGGCTCCTTCAAGGGTAAGAGTGAGTGCAGGCTACTCTGATAGGATTCCTTTGAAGGGGCTCTTTGAAGGGCTAAGAGGGTTTTGAGGCTAATGCTTATCAAGGCTGAAGGGATCCCTAGCCTGAACCGCACGCCATCGGGCTTTGCAGTCTAAACAGTCGAACACTCGAAGCGAGGATGGCAAGGTTGGGGTCTTAAGAAATTTCAGCAAACCCCAAACCCTAAACAGTATCCTGAAAAACGACTCGGACGGGTTCGTCGAGATTCAGCAATCCGATCTGGGTGTTGCCGAAACTTCAAGGTACTGCTAAGGGCTGAGAAAACCCGGAAAATGGCTCTGCGGCATCAAGGGCTGGAGTGAACTGCGCCGGCAGAGTTTGGCATGGATGTTACACAGCTGTCATTGCCATGACGGCTTCGGGTGTTCGAGGTTGTGGCTCGGTGATGGCTTCCACCTACGGGGCCTTCTGGATTGCGCAAGTCGTGTTTGTTGTGGTGCCTCTGACTTCGGGCTCAACATGTGGCTAAGTCGGCGCATGGTCTGTGAGGCCTCAACCATGAACGCCAAGTGAGAAGGTGATATACCATAGTCCAGTATATCATATACTGTACTATCCTATATACTATAACAAACTATATTGCATTAATGAGTAGGTTGCAATGCTGCAACTTCAGGCCAAGTATCTGCAAATCCTCCAGAAGGAGCTTCAGAGCCTCTGCTACAGCGTCGCCTGGTAGAATATCACTCAGCACAGCATAGCCTTCTTCTTTGAGAAAAGCCCTCCAGTTGTCCCCAGTGCTGAAGAACTTCGGCACGAGCCTTTCGTGCAGGACTCAGGCGTCAAAGATGCGAAAATGAAACTTGGTTTAGGGTTTAGGGCCTTTGCTTCCCTCTCGCATGGCAGAGATCAAAGCTCACAGGCGAGACAGACAGGCTTGCAGGTCTTAAGATGCAACGGTTCAGCTCATTGAAAACTCTAGCAGAAGGCACAACACAAACCAACATAGTCCAAGTGCTACCAAAGGGCCTTTAGGGGTTTAGGGTTTAGGGTTTCGAAGGAACACCCAAAACGTACCAAAACCTTAGTAACCTCTAGGAACTCTTCTTGACGAAGCGGTGCAGCCATAAAATGTTGCTTCAGTAGCCACTCTTACACAGACAGGGCACACCGGAGGATCCCACACGGGGGCTCGCGCCGATGTCGGCAGTGCACCGTTTGTGTGACCCTGGTGGACGGTCCCTAGGTTGCTCAGCAACCCATATTGGAAAAGAAATATACACCTTTTGGGCTCGTTTTATTGATCTTCGAAGCCAGAAACATAAGAGAACACAACAACAACTCCACTGAACACGCCCAGGGGACATGAACCTAGGCAACCTTAACCCCAAACTCTCAACCGACCCAGGTTCGGCTGTCCCAAATCACGAGTGCAGACTCGTGGGGATGCGATGGACGAGGCCGTGGGTCCAGCTGGACTGCGCGGCTCACAAGCGACGGGCTTCGAACCTTCGCTTTCTGATTTTAGTGTTTAGGGTTTAGGGCTCTTTGATTTGCTTTGGGTTTAGGCTAGTCTTTATCATTTTTTGTTCGCCCCTTTTTCCTGTAGAATTTTGAAAGTTTAGGGTTTAGGATTACTTGAGGGTTCTGGGACCAGGGATGTTTGCTGTTCAGCATAGCGGGTGGACAGTCCAAAAGCCGTAACGGGTACCCCAAACCAGCTGCGGAATTCATGGTGAGTGCTTTTCTACCATCGACGAGGCAGTTCGTTCAATTCAAGGCATGTTTTATGCCGAAGTGCTGCACGGATGAGGGGCTACTCGGGAAACCCAAGACCCTCCTCTTATTCAACTACATGGGAGGCAACACTGTCACGATGCCTACTCTAACAACTTGAAAGATCATGGGACTTAGAAACAAGGGCTGTAATACGGAAACCCTAAACCCTAAACCCCAAGCTATACTTATACATACTTGTGACTCGAACCCCAGTTATAAGGCAGTGATAACCTCACTTAAGAAGGGTCCCATGACCCTCCAAGAAGAAGAGGGCTTCGGGTTCCCAGATACACACACTGAAGTATCCACGTGATGCTACAGCGAAGCCTGAGCCTAAATACAGTAACTATTTGCTAGCGATCCGGCAAACCAGAACTTGAAACAGAAAACCTAAAAACCACTGCTTAAGAGGGCGACTACACATATGCATAGAGCTAAGCCAAGCGTCGCATAGGGGGGCAAACCCGAGGTGACGTCAGCTAGCTAGCGAACCGACAGCATCCACATAATCACATACGAATATGAAATAGTAGTCTTGCTCAGGGTTTAGGGTTCCTGAAAATAAGAAAACAAAAGTATATACCTCAAAATCCTATTCTACTTCTTCAAACTCGTCCAGGTGCCGCTGTCTTGGCAGTGCTCCCAAGGCTTCCGCCAAGCCTCTGGAAGGTGCCATCGGTGTGCGACCGTGGCACCACCACCAGAGACCGAAAGGCCATTTCTATCGGGCCGCTGAAACGGCCACCGGACGGGCCATCGGATCAGCTAAGTAGGCTCCATAGGTGTCGGATCTACGTAGGTTCCAAGACCGCAATTGCTCCAAATGCATCCAAACTCGGATGCGACGCGAAAGTGAGAAGCGTTGCGTCGATATGGGCTGCCTGCAAATGTAACGAAAAGTGTTATAAGCGTTGCAGTACTCGGGAGGATCTTCATGAGGCATTGGTTCACAAGCTGAACGCTCCAAATACAAGTTTTGGCACTGCAGACTGCTTCAAAACCTGGAGACCTGGATGCAAACCGTACCGTCCTCAGAGCATGAGTCCGGAAAACCTGAACCCTAAGGCCTAAACCTTGAATCTTTGCAGAATCCTTATATTATAGAAGCCTCATTCCCTTCTTGCAGAATCATACAGAAGCTTTATAGATTCAAGGGTTGCGCTCGAAGAATCCAAGAATCCGCTCCTATCAAGCTTTGGGTTCTCAGCTTGCTGGGCTGTAGGGTATGGATCATAAACATAGGCATAGAGGGGCCTCAATTATTGGGCTAGGGCTCTGGTGTCTATGTGTACTATCGTATCCTTAGAATATAAGGACTACAAGAAGAAAATAGCCCCTATCCGACCCTATACCTTCGTGGATGTGTTTAGGACAGTAGGCTGTAGGGAATATATATATATATATATATATACATATATATATATATATGTATATATATATATATATATGTATCCTTATCGGCCAAAGTATGCCAAAGTATGCGAATTGGGTCTGGTGCATATTTGTAGGTATGAATAGAGGAACTTATGGAAAAGCAATCATATAGGTACTTATTCAGGCCCCTTTTACACAGGCTTGATTGGAGCTCGCCCCTAAACCCTTAGAGAACCCTTGTTATAGGAACCCTAAGGGCAAATATTGACAAAAGTCATGTAGGGGCCTTATTAATTAGAATAAGCAGAATAGTAGGGTTAGTAGGGTTTGGGGATCCATTTTACTATAAATATAGTAAGGAACCCCTATAAATAGCATAGGTAATTATTTAGGCCCCTACATGAGTCTCCGGCTCAAAGAGGATAGGAGAAGATCTCGGCAGCTGCTCGGGGCGCTTGGCTTCTCTGGGTCCTTCGCCAAGCATCAGCGCGCCGAGTGTCTCCGAGACGATGACATCCTTAGTGTGTGCATGTAACGGATATTATAACTTGAAAAATGAGTTCGGATATGTGGATTTTGCCGTCTCACCTCTGTAGTAGCCTCTCTGACTCAGGCACATGGATGTGACCCAGGCTTCGTGCCACAGTAGTAACCTTAGCATCGGTTCCATTGTCCTGAATACGGTGTTGATGAAGATCGAAACGCCTGGGAAAACCGTATTACCTGCAATGAGACCACCAGCCGTTTGACAGACTCCTGTTCCTCCACAACTGTGTATATTTCAGGTACATCGGGGGATAGCTAAGTGGTTCAGGCTCCAGGCACATAGGTCTCTAAGTCTGCAGACCCTATATCTCCTCATGAGACCCTATCAAACCCCTGAAACAAGCTGGCACACTTGTACATCCCACGTTCCAGTGAAACCCTGTGAAAGCCATGACAAACAACCCTGATAAACCCGGACCTGCACACATCCCCGACGATTCGGAAAACCCCTAAATCCTAAACCCTAAACTCTAAACCCTAAATCCTTATACACCATAAACTCTATACCGTAAACCCCTAAATCCTAAACCCTAAACCCCTAAATCCTAAACCCTAAACTCTAAACCCTAAACCCTTACACACCCTATAAACCCTAAACCCCTAAATCCTCAACCCTAAACCCCTAAATCCTAAACCCTAAAACCCTAAATGCTAGACCCTCTTTTTGAGCAGGGACTGCAATGCACTAAGCCCTGAATCCCTTCAGCCTAGCTCCTGACTCCTAGACCTAAATTCTAAACCCTAAACGAAATCCACTCTGCAAGGCCAGGAAGCGGCCCGGGCCTCTTCGCTCAACTGCACCTTGCTGCTGAGGGCGTGAAGTATCCTTGGTGGAGACAAAAAGCAGGAGCTTTAGGGTTTAGGAGGTCTGGGCTTTAGGGTCTAGGGGGTTTAGGGTTTAGGGCAAAGGTTGGGCTTAGGAGTTCTACTTAAACAAATCAACTTTGTGGGTGCGGGTCAGAAGGCGTCGGGTTGAGAAGTTCAGGCGATCCTGACAGCGGAAAGCTGAACACCGTAGAACATCAGAACCCATAGAATGTCGAGCCTACTCTCCCGTGCTAACCGGGTGGGAAGATGCCCTCTTGATGCGATCTTGTCGGGAATCTGCTAATTACTTGTCCTGAACTCTCGGACGTTTGGGCTTGGGAAAATATTGAAATTGTGGCTTCAAATTTCGCCTAGAATCCCACCCTTTCTCACCCACCAACCTACCCAGCCCGGAGGCATGTCGTATCTGGCTTAGTGCGCAGGGTCTTGGCAGCTGCGAAAACCAACGACAAGAGCCAGGGATCATTATGAAGATAAGTCCGAAGCGACTGAGATTTCAACTCGCTAGGGAGGATGGAAGGAGAGACGCAGGAACCCCCCTCGTGTATCTTAGTGACACTCTCCATGCGATGCATGATTCTGATTGCGAGTCTCTCCGTAATATGCTCTGTATACACTGAATAACATCTCAACCCTAAACCCTAAACCCTAAAACCCTAAACCCTAAACCGGACCTACTTCATATCCGAGGATATGAGCCCAACAAAGCACAGCAGCATGCTTGTCACTGGCAGACAAGAGACACAGTCTAGAAGTCAGGGTTTAGAGGGTAGGTTTAGGGTTTAGAGCTTAGCGTTTTTACGGAAGACCCACCCACCCACCCCCCCCTCCAGCTGCACGGCCAGATGCTTGATCTTCTCCTCCTGACTTGCTTCCCGATGTGCTTGTCTTAAAGCTAGTTGTTGGCTGGACGGTAAACTGTAACTGCAAGATCTCAACAAGTAAGCACAGGTCGCCTTGGACACGACAAGGAGTTACACCCAAGTCGGAAAACCCCTACACCCTGCCTCGACCCGAAAGCCCAAAGCCTGAGTTGTAACAAGCTCTTCTGCGGCTCCTGCCCGTTGCGCTCAGCATTCAGCCTAGCCTCAGGGGGCAGATCGGCTCAGCAGATAGGCTTCTTAAAAGCCCCCAGACCCCAAAAGCGGCTGCTGGCCGCCACAGTTGAGTTCAGAACTCCGAGCAAAGTTCAAAGGATGACCCGACCCACGAAGCCGCTCCCTTAGCACAGGCTCCTGCTTCACTCCAAAACGTCTAAACGCCTTCCGAGAAGGTGTAGGGCCAGAATACTCTCCCTTGCGGCTTTCTTCTCTTGCAGACATGTCGCAAGCTCTGCCATATCTTTTGAAGCCTGGTGCAGCCAAAGACTGGGCCCTTGCAACAAAGTTACCCGTGAATTACTGCAGTAACTATATGTAGCAAAAGAGAGGCTGTCCTTTTCACGGTAACTTAACTCTGAAGTTCCTGAGTAAGAACCCAGATTGTAGCCCAGGATTTGGGGTGTCGTGTAGAGTTCAATAGCGTTTAGGGTTAAAGGTTTGGTTTAGGGTTAACGGTTCAGGGTTTGGGGATTTGGGTATAATAGCGTTTAGGGCTAAAGGTTTTGCAGTGTTGTGGGCATCGGTCAGCAACTTGTGTGACCCCAATTTCACAAACAGATTTAGGGATCCTGCCTCCCATGGCTCTATTCTAGAGCATATGCCTGGTAAGGGTCAAGCGAACCTATTCATCAGGTACATGGAACCCTATAGGTACGCTATGCTATCAGAGCAAGCCTGACAACTTCAGATTCTCTGGATCTCAACTCTGGGCCAGTAGCTCAACCCTAAACCCTGAACCCTGCTTCGGTGCGCTTTGGCACTTGCCATGCCTTTGGGTGCATCACGGGGACCCAGCTGCGCCTGTAATCGTTCTCTCTTTCTCTCTCTCTCTCTCTCTCTCTCTCTCTCTCTTCAAGCCAAAATCCTGGAGAGCACGACCTTAGTAAGCCTTACTGCTCCCGCTGAACCTGCAGCCCGCAAAACCTCGCCGTCTACACGGCTGAGGGCCAAGCCACGGATGCAGCACCAAGGAGACTAGACAGGCGCTCGCGCACACAGGAATCGAAATCGGGCGCACAGAACGCACCACAGCTAATCTCAAACTATGCAGACACTATCACGGAATAACTTCTCTAGCTGCTAGCTATTCAGGCCTCTGTATTCCATGGTTGAATCTTCTCGGCTTTTGTGCCTTTCGTGGATACTAATTATTACTACAAACTGTTCAGGCCTTATATATATATATCCCATGATTGACACTTCTGGGCTTGTTGTACCTTTCATAAGCGCACAAGTCGAGCCTGTACATGCCAGCACCCTTCCGGGCACCATGGCGTTTGTGATGTTGAAGCCCCGAGTATAGGGTCCTGAATGATTACAATAGGGTCTTGGAGTCTTGGAGTATCTGAAAATTTGAAGAACTTTTTGTCAGCACAGAGACGCCCAGACCCCTTCATAAGGAATATACTCTAAGTCATAATAGGGTTCCTATTATAACTTCATGTAAGGCCTATTCCTTAATCAAGCAGTTTCGGAGTCTCAGGAGGGAACCCTATGGAATGGCATTGGTTATTCAGGCCCCTAGGCCGCCTAGGCCCAAAAACTCAGAAGGCAGAAATTGCCCGTCTGAGCTGTACACTGCTTGGGGTCCCATTCCCTATAAACCCCAAACCGTAGAGGCTACTTACCAACCTCAGGCTTGGGAAAGAGATGAAACTGGATGGAACCGCCACAAGCTGAGCTGTACATTGCTTGGGGTCCCATGCCTTTGGGGCCCATGTACTCAAATACCGTCGATGATATAAACCCTGCATTACCTCAAAGACCCTAAACTATGGGAACTATGGTATATTCCTTATTATGCGTAGTGCAGGATTTATATCATCAACCGTAGTATATACTTTGGCCTTATAAAGCAATCTCTATATAGGTACTTTGGAGCCAAGGTTTTTACTATTTGGGGACATGGACCCCTTGGGGGATGCACTTTAGGTTACTACCAACCTTAGGCTTCAGAAAACAAGCTGGATGTCTCTGCGAGTTTCGCAAGCTCAAGCCGATGACTCCCAAAGCACCCAACCACTGCAGCCGATCTGAAAATTGGGTCGGAGGTCTTCGATGGCAAGGTAGCCCACCGCTTTCACGGAGCACATGACAAAGCTGACGTAGCCCACGAGGAGCACGAAGAGCCCTACCGCCTTTTCTTGCATCATGGAGCGAGATGCCTGGCTGGACTTTCCCGATTTCGCATCACGGTCATCGCTGTCCCGGAGAAACCTCCAGTACAGCAGGGCAGGGTAAATCTGGGTGACCCAGGGCGTTGTCAGGGCTGTGACGAAGTCCAGCAGCGTCCCGATGCTGGGGATGAACGTGGCCAGGATTAGGGCTAAGATGAAAGTTGGCAGCGTGTAGCCCAGATACCGCATCACATCAGACACGGACCATGTGTCCTTGAAGCTTGGCGCCCAGCTCCTTTGGCAGAACCGGCAGAGCGGCACTGTGTCGAGCATGTACGAGACGAAGTTCCCCCCCAACTTAAAGCAGCTGAAGATCGTGTTCAGAGCAGTCCCCGGCACCCAGGCACCGACGCCTCCTGTGATGCTGATGACTTCGCCGACTTCGTAGCCCCATCGCGCCACCACTATGCTGCCTACAATGCTGAAGACCAGAACGTTGAGGCCTCCTGCGAAAACGAGTGACTTCTTGAAGTCTTTGGGCGTCTCCATGCAAGCGCTGAGCTCCACCGCGAGGAAAGCCGGCACATAAGACCAGGCACTGATAGTGCAGCCACTGGCCAGCCTCACCGCCATCATGTTCAGATCAGTCTCTGGGTTGCCGACTAAGCGGGCGGAGATCTTGTCATCAATGTCGTAGAGGAAGACTGCTGCCAGCATGCAACCGATCATGCCGAAGGTGCACACCAGCGAGATTTGCGCGAAGATGTTGGCATTGCTGAGTCTCCGAACCTGAGTCGTCAGCAAGCAGAAGAGTGCCACGAGCCAAACGTAATAGTCCGAGCAAGAGCCCAGTGGGCCGATGCTTCCGATGCCCTGCAGGGCGTCACCACAGAAGCGCAAGGCGCAAGGCATGAACAAACAGAAGTTGCCCAGCTGAATCCTTGGCTTTTGGACTACTTTTGGACTCTAGACTTAACTATAGTACTCTTATAGAAACCCTATAAAAAGCCTTATAGATCCCTTTAACGAATTCTAAAACGGACCGAATCATGGCCCCAGGTTCAGATTTCCGAAGACCTCGCCAGGACGACCGAAGACCTTGAAACCGAGGTCCCCGAAGGTTTCCTGGGTTCTTGTTAAGGGACTTCCATTAAGTTACCATAATTAGGGTTTAGGGTTTAAGGGACTTCAATTAAGTTACAATACTTAGGGTGTTAGGGTTTAGGGTTTAAGAGATTTCAAGTTAAGTTACCATAGTTAGGGTTTTAGGGTTTAGGGCCTAGGGTTTAAGGGATTTCAATTAAGTTACCATAGTTAGGGTTTTAGGGTTTAGGGTAATTTAAGTTACCATAATTAGGGTTTTAGGGTTTAGGGTTTAAGGGATGTCAATTACCGTAATAAAGAAACCTAATTAGCTACTATAGTATAGATCCCAATTATGGCAACTTAAACTAAAACGCTTTAACAAGAGCCCAGTTTCGCAGTCCGGATAGCAGAGTTTAATCTGCAGCAGCATATTCGCACCAGCAATCGAGGCCCCAGTGATCACCATACAGATCACAATGCCCCCTATGAAGCCAGCGTTGGCAATTGCAAAGGGCACAGCCATGACTGCTGAGGGTGCGGCAAAGGTGAAAATCAGAATTCCTGCTTGCCTCCAGGTAGGGCAGATAGGTTTAGGGTTTCGGATCAAGGGCCGAGGCTCTGGATTCATCCCTCTTTACCCTTTGCCTCCAGGTCATGAGAGTGCCTGGCACTTCTTCCCCGGCATAGTCCGGAGCACTGTCCATGGCAGCAAGCTGCAGAGGGATACCAAAACCCCAAACCGTGGCTGCTTCTGAGCCTGAGTGATCTACGCGGTCATTCACAAGGATTAGGCTCTTGGGGTCTGTTACAGTATCACCGCAGAGCGAGAGAGACAAACAGAGAGAGAGAGAGAGAAGAGAAAACGGGAATTGAGTCGGCCACTCTCAAGTCGTCGTGAGTTGAAACTATGATAAACTAGAATCGATGTCAGAACCCAAGTCTGAGTAGTCGATTAGCTAGGGTACGGTTCCCATTGTCTTTTGTCGGAGTTTTACATGTTCTTTACGGGCTTTGAGTGTTTTGTAAGCTAGATGTTTGACGGATTATCAGGGTTTTTTCCTAGACCCTACACCCTAAAACACCCGTATAAATACAACCCTAAACCCTACATCCTAAAGCACCCTTCTACATACTGTAAAGTCCCTTAGCTTCCAGCTCCCGACCGGAATCAACTCTAACACCGAGCTCTAAACAGTAACATCCTCAACCGCAAAAAGAAACGAAACTCTAAACTCCCATCCCGACAAGCTAGGCTTAGGGGCTTCAGGGTTTAGGGGTTTAGGGATTCAGGGATTTAGGGTTTAGGGGTTTAGGGGTTTAGGGGCTTAGGGATGTAGGGGTTTAGGGGTTTAGGGTTTAGGGGTTTAGGGAGTTGGGGGTTTATAGGATAGAAACCTCAATCTCAAGCATCCTCAGGCCTAAGACTCAGCGTGACACCGGGCCTCCACGGCGACCACGGAACTCGCGCCCAACTTCGCCGCCATCAGAGAGAGGAGTCCGCTACCAGAGCCTGAAATCGAAGGCTGTGGGGAGTCTTAGGGGGTTTTGGGGTTAGGGAAATACACGATAGCTGCAGTCTCATGATCGTACATATCGTATGCCATGCAATGATTTTATAATCACGGATATTGTCAAGGGGGTTCGCGGGTTGTTGTCAGTGTACTTATAACCTTTAACCCGACTAGTAACTACACATGAACCTTCAACTACTCTCACCAACATTTGGGAGAAACGATTTTGAGGGTGCTGCCGTGCTGCCCCCCCTCATGGGGTAGTACTGGTGGTGTGCTGGTGGTGGAGGGCTGGGGGATCAGATGCTTTAAAAGCTGGAATCTGAATCCCCGAACACTTCGAGACGCCAACGCGAAGCTTGGTATAATTATGTGTTACCCAGAGGCTCCATACACACTGCCATTATGGAATTAGGTCCCAGAAGACCATGCTTGTTGTGGCTTCAGGGACCTAATTCCATAATGGTAGTCTATTTGGAGCCTCTGGGTTATGTGCCTTTGTTATTGGATTTGGGACGGTTGCAGGGTTGAGGATTGCAGGCTGCAGCATTGTCAGGAAAGGCTTGCCGGTGGTCTTCCGTATCTTCGTGTTGAACTCTCCAGACATGCCTGGATTCTTGTTAAGGAATTCTCAATTTTACGTTACCATAATAGGGATCTATAGTAAATAATTTGGTTGCCTTATTATGATAACTTAACTGAACTCCCTTAAACCCTTTTTTTGAGCAGGGACTCCCTTAAACCCTAAACCCTAAAACCCTAAACCCTAAACCCCTAAAGCCCTAAACCCAAAACCCTAAAGCCCTAAACCTTAATTACTTAATGACAACTTAAACTAAATCCCTGAGCAAGAACCCAGACATGCAAGGGCAGGAGTAATTAGGGTTTAGGGTTTTCGGGTTTAGGGTTTTAGGGTTTAGGGTTTTAGGGCTTACCTTAACCCCAAATAACCTACCCTTTTAAGGACTTATGTAAAGAAATCATAATAAGGAACCGTAAAAAGGTAGGTGCTTTGGGGTCCAGGTAGGGTTTAAGGGATTTCAATTAAGCTCAGAAGCAGGCCATGGGCTTCTTTGGGGCTACGGTTGGGGATGTCTCTGTGAAGCTGCGGTGTTGGTAAGCATTGCCTTGGTTTAGGGTTCAGGGTTCAGGGTTTAGGGTTCAGAGTTCAGGGTTTAGGGTTCAGGGTTTAGGGTTCAGGGTTTAGGCTTTGGGGTTTAGGGTTCAGGGTTTCGGGTTTATACGGATTAGGGTTTAGGGTTTAGGGCTTCAGACGTGCATGCAAACTGCCCCAATACATGCAGCAATAAAAAAAACAAACAACCGTGAACAACACCCCTAAACCCTAAACTTTAAATCCCTAAACCCCAAGTTGTGCGAAGCCGACCGGCTGAACAGCCATTGAATGAAGCAGTTTCGAAGCTTCCCTAGCTGACTGCCCATAACCATTCACCGCAAGAAAGGAATATTGGGTGCCTTGATCATGAGAGGTAGAATGAGGCACCTTAAGGAATACAGTTCATGATATAAAACCTGCATTCCCCATCATAAGGAATATACCATAATTCCCATAGTTTAGGGGCCTTAAGGTAATGCAGGATTTTTATCACCAACAGTAAGTATCAGTAATTTTGCCGACCGCATCAGAAATCGGGTGCTCCATCTTCGAGCAAACCGGAGAACTCGTGCCACGCTGCAAGATGTTCAAAATCAAGCCTGCAACCTGAGGCCATGAAACCCTTTTGGCAGCAGCCATCTTTCTGAGCAGGGACCGCAATGCAGTAAGCCCTGGCTGAAGGTTTGCAGCAGCCATTAAACCCTAAACCCTAAACCCCGCCCTAAGCCCTGGCTCAAGGCTTGCAGCAGCCATAAAACCCTAAACCCTAAACCCTCATGATCAAGGGGCCTATGTCGATCACGCGCTTGCCCTGGACGACCGCAGCCAGGGCATCCCAGTAGAACTGATTTCGATGAGAATCGTTCCTTGGCCGAGGAGCGCTAGACCCCAAACCGCCGACACATAGGAACTGCAGTAGTTTTAGTATTTAGTGTTTAGGGCTTTAGTTTCACAGATTAGGGTTTACTGCTTAGGACTTACGGTTTGGGGCAACAGGTTCCACATAGGAATCCGGACATGCAGCATACTTCAAACGGTCATGACTCCTGGAATGCTTGGTTCAATCTGCTCCTCATCGTGACGACTACCGTCAGCCCTCGCACACTACCAGACCATCACAGCGGTAACGGTGATGATTCAAGGATGTAGATGACGGCCGCCTACACGTTAAGACACATAAGCGGAGCTGGATAGACAAGATTGCAAGTAATGAGAAATAACGAGTTACCAAACCCCAAAATGCAAGGAGAACCAGGTTCCCGCGCCAACATCAATGCACCACTCATCCAGCCCGAAACACCGCAGGCCCCAAAAGGTGAGGGGCCGCACGGAAGCCATAAAAACTGCCAAAGTTATGACAAAGAGAACGAGTCTCTGGGACATGGTGCTGCGGTTCGTGGGACTAGTTGCTGTGCGAGAAGAGGTTTGGGCCTAAAGACGAATGAACTGGAATGGAAGCTGTCTGCAACCCGCTCTCGACAAGACGCCAGTCCCAAGTGCAGTGCGAGCGGTGCGAAGACTCCCCAACCACAAACCAGTTGTTGCATGCCCTCCATTTTTTGCAACAAACCTACCTGCAGTCTCAATTGTAGTCCCTTCTCTTGGTTTAACCATTCATATATTTCGGACCCTATAAGGTAACCCCAAAAAAGAACTACTACAATGGAGACAACAAGCCTCCTCCATGGATACCCTGGAAGATTCCGAGGCAGGTCACAGCATGGCAAAGTGCCAGTCGTTGACGGCCTGTGGTTGCCATGCTGCTGTCTCGAGATCCATGTTAGCCCGATGCAGCAGGGCATTGCTAGTTTGAGGCACCCTGCATGTTTAGAAGTTTAGACTGCGCATCACTGCAGAATCAGTAGAGCAAACCGTCACTCTGGCACCTCGATGAGTGACTCATTGCGGCCTTTCAAGCGCGGAGGAACCCAGTGACCTGCTTGTGGGACCAGTTGGGAAAATGGGCATGTGTTACGCTGTAGGTGTGGAGTTGAAGTTGTCACCGCTCGTACTGGGACATGCTGGGGTTGCAATGAACAGCGCAGGCTACAGTAATTAGGGTTGAAAGATTAGGGAATCCAGCCTCGAGTCATCGCATCTTCGTAGCCTTGGCAGTGTCTTACTTGGAGGTTCAGGGGTAGTTATAAATGGGGTTTTAAGTCCCCTAATATGGGTTATAACTTATAACTATAGTTACCCTGCTTATAACTCCACTTATAACTACCCCTGAACCTCCAAGTACCCGGCCCCCTGAAACCCAGGAGTGCTCCTTGCAGGGGCTGACGGAAACATGTGCACACACAAACCCAAGACAAGGTCCCAAACACTGTGCTATGGGTCGTTTTCTAAAAGAGGGTCCCTTTTAGGGTCCATATTATAAGGGTGCCGTGATATATTGGGGACCCAAAAAAGGGCCCTAACTTAGAGAACTACCCTTAAACCCTAAACCCTAAACCCTAAACCCTAAACCCTAAACCCTAAACCCTAAACCTTATCCATGCCCTGGGGTCGGGTGCAGGCTTTCGGGGTCAGAGAAAAGACCTCGGACCTGGGAGGCACCCTGGGCCCTGTCCTTGTCATAGGGTTTAGGGTTTATAGGGTTTAGGGTTTAGGGTTTAGGGTTTAGGGTTTAGGATTGATACTCTTGTGGTTACGATCCTTATTATAAGCTTGTATTGTCACTAGTGTTTGATGTGTTTTGAGACTAATGCTAATTACCATTGTGAAATGACCCACAAGCAACAATTGCAAACTCTTCGGAGCATTTGTATCGTGGCTGGAGGGGTCCGGGCATACTGCGGAATTTCCAATGATAACTGCGATATCGAAATGCACGTCTGTTAGCCCCAGACATGATCGAGGAGTTGTCCCAAACACTGCAATCTAGCTACCTGGACCATGGAACACTATACCTTTATCTCGATGACGTGCTGTATGGTTACGGTCCGATAATCAGAAACCTGGGTAACCGATCAAGGGTTCCTCAGGAAGAGATCTGTACTGTTGGACCCGGCTGAAATTACCCTAAACCCTAAATCTTAAATTCAACGATCGGTTTAGGAACTGTTATATGTGGACTCATGCGGACCTCAATCCTGGGCCTTGGGGTAAGATACAGTATGCTGCAGCTAATTCTGTTCGTTTTGTGCGTGTGTGTGTGTGTGTGTTGAGATTGTATGTATGAGCAAAAAACCGAAACAACTAGACAAACAGATAAACTGCTAGCTGCAGATAGATGGAAAGATAGAAATATTGATAGATGGAGAGACAGACAGAGAGATAAGCAGATCGAGCTGTTGCTTTCCTCCGGCGCTCTCTCTCTCTCTCTCTGCGTCTCTGTCTCGAAAACACCAACTCCCCAAAGCGTCATGTGCACACCAGCGATCTTGCCAGGTGGCGCGTCGAGTCCTCGTACTCCTCGCCGTCGTCACACCCGGGAGGGATGAACGAGTCCTCGCATAAAAGCTCGGCATAACTGCCGTCTTCGATTCATCCGGGGTTTGCGGCTAAGGGGCTGTTGGGTGTGGGCGACGGAGGATGGGTTGGAGGCGGGCGCAGGGCGTATGATTGCGATCTGAGCAAAGTTTGCGTGAGGTTGTAGTAGGAATTGATAAGGGTTTCGACGATATGATGTGTCGTCACCGCGGAGTACTGAGTTGCTGAGGCTGCTTAATGTTAGGTAAATATTAAGCAATGCCGGCAGGCTCCCGTGCCGTGGCTCAGGGTTTCATTCTGAGCGTTTCTGGTTGACAGTATACCTATAGGCGTAGAATATCCTAGAATCTTGAAAGTTTGTTGGACAAACTGTTTCGCTACTGTGACCCGACAATAGACCGCTGAGGTCTCCAACGGAAAAGGACATGTCCCTGTCTGCGAGAGGTGTTGCGGCTTAAAGATCGGAAGCACTCTTGTTTCGGCTCTCCGATGCTGGAAAGTGAAGGTTCGAGAATGGGGCTTCCAGTTTAGGACTAGGACAGTCGTGAAGGGTTGGATGGTGTGTGCGTCGGGGAGCAGACGTAGATCATCGGATTTATGGAGTGGAATGGGGTTTACGAGGGCTTCAGGACCTTCAGGTATCCGCCTCGGGGGCACGGGTTTAGGGTTGTGTCTGAGACACTTTAAGCTGGATGTTGGCTGCATTTGCTGCTGTATGTTATTTATTCTACAGCTGAGTCTGAAATCGTCGCGCACATAAACCCCTAACCGCACAGCAAGTCAGTCTCGCAGAGCTGGTGCTTAGGGGCTTGAGCAGGGCTCGGGAACTGCAGCGATTTAACAGGGTACCCGCAATCTAAAAGACTCAGGGCTGAGTTTTCTTGCGGGGAATATAGGAGCTCATGACAAGGAACACGAAAGCAATGTGGGTATTCTTAGTTGCTGAGTTCATAAGCCCCAAAAAGTGTACACTTTCAGTTCTATAAGGGATCGATCATATAATCCCAAAAAGTGTAAAGTGTACTCACTCAGCTACTAAGCATTTGGGGACACAGGCAGCGTCTAGACCTTTGCTGGCTTCTTTGTGGTCTGGGGCCTTCGGACCGTAGGAACTGGCAGCTTTAAACCCTGAAGTCTGCTCCTTCAAAGGCCTGCGACTACATAGGTAGTTTAAGGCCAAGGCAATAGAATATACTTCAGGGCACAAGTGGGGACTAAGTGCAACAGAGGCGCTGAATACTTCGGCGCCTTCGGCATTGCAGCTACTGCCTGGGCGAAGCACCGGCGGGCGCATCGAAAGCAACAACAGCAGTACTGCCGAACATCCTTCCCCCATCAACAGCAATCAATAGCAACAGCATGTTAATCAGTAGCTGTGGAGGAATTCGCACTCTTCTCAGCCTCGTCATGCTTGTAGCATACACCATCACTGTCGCGATGAAACAAGGCCCTAAACCCTAATGCCTACAGTACAGTCCGAGACCCCAAAAGCCAATAGCCCCTAAACTTTGCTCTGTTTCAGTGCAAGATCAACTGCCGAGGTGCCGCTGCAGGACGTTTGGGTCTCCACTGAGGCTTGCCCTGCCGAAACTCATGGGTTACCGGGGGGTTATAGATGCTAGCCAAGCCGATCACCCTCTCTGTCTGTCACGCTCTCTCTCTCTCTCTCTCTCCCTCGCTCCCTCCCTCCCTCGCTCTCGCTCTCGCTCTC